CATGTAAATCGGAGCAATCACCTTATAGGCTACTTCATTTACTGTAACTCAATAGCTCTCAAATGTAACCCGTTGTAGAATCGCTACTGTCTCTTTATGAATGAATGGATATTCATGCCAGACAATGCGGAGTGATAAATAGCAGTGGAGCTCAGACCTGGGATTGTACTATAGTGCTATAGGCTACAAGGCCGGCAAAGGTACCCTGATGTAACTCCCAACCTTTATCTTCACGTGTTTGGCTTGCCATCACGAGCCCACTCTCATTCACGTCAGTTTCGGTTTCTAATAAGCAAAAATATATTGCATTAGCGCCCCCTTTTGTCGGCCCTCAACATCACTTAATCTGACACTTTTTCTCTGATGATGAACCGCCATGACTTACTTCTCCAGAACGTGCAGATGGCCAGTCCGCCCCTGGTTACTTTTTTATTCTGATTGTGCTTCTTCCATTAGTAGGGTCCATGTAAACGCAGCTACTGTTGAGTCGTGTTTCTTGTGGTATATTTCAGTTGTTTGTGTGAATAACCATATAAAACTATGAACCCTTTTCTGTCGTTGGTCTATTGTTTTCCTGGTTATATAACATTTAAACAATTTTATCAATATATCAAATAAACCAAATCATCTCTGCAAGAGAATCATTTATCTGTGTGAAAATATATATATATATATATATGTGCAGATTTTTTTTAAAGGTTTATAGAAACCCTGCAACATCATTCTTCTGTAAAGTATTCAACATATTCAATTGTAAAGATAAAGATTTAAGTCTATTTACATTATATTTACATTTAGTAATTTATCAGACACTTTTGTCCAAAGCGACTTACAAATGAGGACAACAGAAGCAATCACAATCAACAAAAGAGTAATGATCTGCAAGTGCTATAACAAGTCTCAGTTAGCTTAATGCAGTACACATAGTACTTTTTAAAATTATATAATACCTTTTATTGTGCTTTTGTAAATTGTATAATAAATCAAAAGAAAACAAATAAAATACAAAAAGATTAGAAAAACTAGAAAACAAGCAGTAAATTGATAGAGCGCAAGTCTAAAAGGGACACATTTTTTTAAAGAATAGAATTAGAATATTATAGAATTTTCAAATTAATTAATTGAAAACAGCACTCAAATCCAATCTAGTGACATAATGAAAAAAAAATATAAAAAAATATTGATATTTTTGTTAAATGAATAAATATACATGTTTTAAGTGTTTTCTCTGTGATTATTAGCAGACATGAGTTTTATTGAATAATTAGCCTACCAGAACACGTTAGAAACCAAATGCACTTGAAAGATCACAGTGCGCACTTTATAAAGCATATACAGATTTGCATTTAACTACATGTATAGGCTGCCTATTCAAATGCAGGAATATTGTAAGCGTGCATGGAGCCTCGCGTGCTGCGATGCTGTATTTCTGGGTAACTGCGCAGTGATTCTCGTGTTTCTGGATGTGAGCTGAGTTCCGTGTGTTTGTCTCTTTAAGTCTCGGTCGTGTGCGGGAATATGGCGGAGAAACCCCAGTCTTCAGCTGCTGGTGAGTGAGAAGAAACGCAGATCCGGATCCTGCTCTTAAAATTTCAATTACGTTCATTTTCATCTGATGCAGTATTGATTTATCCTATAAAGAATGGCCATAAGTGTCTTATGGAGCACTATATGCTCTAAAAGATCCTGCTGTTATTTTGTTAATCTATGTGAAATGTTTCTCTCGGATTCTCATGATAGTCTAAAATTAACCATGGCTTTATTGTAGTAAAAGTGTAGTAACCATGGTTTTTTGGCGTATTTTTGGCCCATTTGTATAACCACAGTATAATTACAAATACTATGGTTAAACTGTGTAGCAAAACCATGGTTCATTTGTGGTCACCATGGTTTAACTATAGGTACCATGTTTTTTTGGTTCCATTTGTGGTTAATTTTCGTAATGATAGGGATCCAGTGTTAGCATTTCTCATTGCATTCCTTTTTATTTACTTTATTTTAAAGCATGGCCCCCGCATTTTGTGAAGTTTTATGTCATTTTTTAAAAATTGTATTGTTATTGTCCTACGAATTACTTTATTTAGGATATTTTTTTTTTTCATTAATTTTTTAATAAAATAAAACCAATCCTAGCCTATGCTTAATCTATTTTTTTGGGGAAGAATTCTAATAGGAATACCTATAATTAGAAGTCGGTCTAAAAAAACTTATTTCTGTATTTACATTTGATTGCATTTTGTTACTTAATTAATTTATTTGCATTTAATGTATCAGTATTTTACTCTGAATGACTATACATTTCATAACAGTAGTATTTTATAGCAGGGCTACAATCCCAGAAATTGCATACATATATATATATATATATATATACAGGTACATTTAAAAAACAAATTTGAATATCATGAAAAAGGTCAATATTTTTGTCACTCATTTCAGAAAGTGAAACCCATATATTATATAGATTAATTATACGACAAGGAAGCATGAAGTGCTCTAAAATTTCCTGGTAGATGGTTGCGTTGACTGTGGACTTCAGAAAACACAGTGGACCAACACCAGCAGATGACATGGCAGCCCAAATCATCACTGACTGTGGAAACTTCACACTGGACTTCAAGCAACATGGTTTCTTCCTCAAGACTCTGGGACCTTGATTTCCAAATGAAATGCAAATTTTACTTTCATCTGAAAAGAGGACTTTGGACCACTGAGCAACAGTCCAGTTCTTTTTCTCCACAGCCCAGGTAAGATGCTTCTGACGTTGTCTCTGGTTCAGGAGTGGCTTGACAAGAGGAATACGACATTTGTAGCCCATGTCTAGGATTCGTCTGTGCGTAGTAGCTCTTGATGCGCTGACGCCAGCCTCAGTCCACTCCTTGTGAAGCTCACCCAAATTCTTGAATGGATTTTGCCTGACAGTCCTCTCAAGGCTGCGGTTATCCCTTTTGCTGGTGCACCTTTTCCTACCACACTTTTTCCTTCCTCTCAACTTTCTATGAATATGCTTGGATACAGCACTCTGTGAACAACCAGCTTCTTTAGCAATGAACTTTTGTGTCAGTGATTGTCTTCTGGACATCTGTCAAATCAGCAGTCGTCCCCATGTGTAGCCTACTGACCCAGACTGAGAGACCATTTAAAGGCTCAGGAAACCTTTGCAGGTGTTTTGAGGTAATTAGCTGATTAGGGTGAGACATAACTTTCCAACTTTTTCCCAATATTCTAATTTTCTGAGACACTGAATTTTGGGTTTTCATTATCTGTAAGCCATAATCATCAAAATTTCAAGAAATAAAGGCTTGAAATATTTCACTACGTATAATTAATCTATATAATATATGGGTTTCACTTTCTGAAATGAGTGACAAAAAATATTGACCTTTTTCATGATATTCTAATTTTTTTAGATGTACCTGTAGTGTACAGGTGCATCTCAATAAATTAGAATGTCATGGAAAAGTTTCAACTCAAATTCAACTCAAATTGTGAAACTCGTGTATTAAATAAATTCAATGCACACAGACTGAAGTAGTTTAAATCTGAAGGTGTTGGTTCTTTTAATTGTGATGATTTTGGCTCACATTTAACAAAAACCCACCAATTCACTATATCAACAAATTAGAATACTTCATAAGACCAATAAAAAAAACATTTTTAGTGAATTGTTGGCCTTCTGGATAGTATGTTAATTTACTGTACATGTACTCAATACTTGGTAGGGGCTCCTTTTGCTTTAATTACTGCCTCAATTCGGCGTGGCATGGAGGTGATCAGTTTGTGGCACTGCTGAGGTGGTATGGAAGCCCAGGTTTCTTTGACAGTGGCCTTCAGCTCATCTGCATTTTTTGGTCTCTTGTTTCTCATTTTCCTCTTGACAATACCCCATAGATTCTCTATGGGGTTCAGGTCTGGTGCGACATTTGTAGCCCATGTCTAGGATTCGTCTGTGCGTAGTAGCTCTTGATGCGCTGACGCCAGCCTCAGTCCACTCCTTGTGAAGCTCACCCAAATTCTTGAAGGGATTTTCCCTGACAGTCCTCTCAAGGCTGCGGTTATCCCTTTTGCTGGTGCACCTTTTCCTACCACACTTTTTCCTTCCTCTCAACTTTCTATGAATATGCTTGGATACAGCACTCTGTGAACAACCAGCTTCTTTAGCAATGAACTTTTGTGTCAGTGATTGTCTTCTGGACATCTGTCAAATCAGCAGTCGTCCCCATGTGTAGCCTACTGACCCAGACTGAGAGACCATTTAAAGGCTCAGGAAACCTTTGCAGGTGTTTTGAGGTAATTAGCTGATTAGGGTGAGACATAACTTTCCAACTTTTTCCCAATATTCTAATTTTCTGAGACACTGAATTTTGGGTTTTCATTATCTGTAAGTCATAATCATCAAAATGTTAAGAAATAAAGGCTTGCAATATTTCACTCTGTGTGTAATGAATCTATATAATATATGGGTTTCACTTTCTGAAATGAGTGTCAAAAAATATTGACCTTTTTTATGATATTCACATTTTTTGAGATGTACCTGTATATATATATATATACTTAAACAGGCGTTTTATATATATATATATATATATATATATATATATATATATATATATATATCACGTTTTTT